TTTCAAGGCTGTACTCTATATGGAAGCAGACCACCCCATCTTTCTGCTACAGAGTGGCTGGTGGGTTTGAACCACCAAACTTTTAATTAACAGCCAAGCACTTAACCACTGCTCCACCAGGGCTCCTTGTGGAGAACAAGCAGAAGGAAAATAAGAACATTTTTCCTCAGAATTCAGTCCAAGAAAAGCCAGGAAGGATAAAGACAAAAAGCTATGTTGAGTGGCAAAGGAGGAAGTCAAGGTAATGAAAGTGAGGCAGCTTTGGGTTTCTCAGTAAATCATGGAATTATTGGACCTAAAAGTCATTATTCAAACCACCACCCATCAAGTCTGTAAGATCCTCTCCAGTGAGTGGACACAGAAACAACAGTACCTTAAAAAAAAAAAAAAAAAGATTTACAGAAGTTGCTTTGATAATAAAATGAGGCAGTGTGTAATAAATGGACTTCTGATTTTAATGCAGTATAGCAAAAAAGTACATCATATTTTGATCAATTAAATCATAATGAATAAAAAATAAGGCAAATTTTTAAAAATCTATAATATTCTTTGGTGCATGAGGTCTAGTTCCATATATTCCCATGGAATAAAATTTTTTTCATGCCTTAATATAAAAAATATTTTAGAGTGTTTACATAAAAAATGAAATAACGGAGAAAAACAATCATGTTTGTGTCTATAGACGAATATTTCAGTGATCATTGTTGACAGTGCTGTAGAAATATAGTTGTCAGTGAAACACCATTTTAACAAATAAAATAAAATACTTTTCCCTCAATGGCCATTACAGGCAGTCCTGGTTACAAACATCCGACTTACATACAACCCGTAATGATGAAGCAACCTTTGTAAAGCTTTTTGTATTAAAAATTCAAGGCACATACCATGATTTTTAATAACAAATGGGCACTATTTTGTGATGTGCATCAAAGCATTGTTATTAATGTATTAGAATGTCAAAGGTGTTTTAGTGTATCTGGAAGTGTTTCTTTAACATTTCTGATGCATAGAAACATATACTATATACTATAGACTGAGACAGACATTTGACTGACTTTAGATAGCAATCATACCTACCTGTGCTGACTTACTGTGGTGCAGTGACTGATTTAATATGGCCCTTTTAGCCATGGTCTATGTGACTCCCACCAGATGACTGGGTGGGACTATGTAGATGTGAGGTGTTTATGGCCCACCAAGGGGATTGCATAGCTTGTTAATAATGTAAATAGGGTACATGTCATCCTTGTGGGAATGGGACTGTTCAAATAAGGTGTATGGAACCCTAACATGGGGATTGGTCAGTTTTGCCATTCTGCTAGGCTTAATATGGGCCATCCCAAAGGCAGAAAAGGGGATCTCACTGCCACAAGAAAGAAGAGCCAGGAGTGGGGTATTATCTCCTTTGACCTTAGATTCTTGCACTGAGACAGTGAGAAGTGGTGGCTGAGAAACTGTGGCAGCAGAAGTAGGAGAACCAAGAGCCCAGCATGAGACAGAGCGGTGAGGTTCCCAGCCCATGGAGGAGAAAGCTGAGTGGCTTCAGGCAGGAGCCTTGCTGGTAGAGTGGGGTGCTTCTCTGGGCGCCTATCTGCAAAGCTTCAAAAGCTTTATAACACTTGCATGAGCGGAGCAGAGGCCAGGCCAAGGAGCTGAAGGCCAAAGAGAGGTGTGCCTATGGGCATGGCTGTCTTGATGGAAGAATTGTATCCTGAGTGTTCCTGAAGCTGAATTGTAACATGCTGCTTCCCTAATAAACCCCATAACTGTTAGTATTGTCTGTGAGTTCTGTGTGGCCACTGCATGAACTATCGAACCCAGCAAAGAAGTAGAGAGAGCCATGGGAGGGATGGCTGGTGTCAGAATTGGTAAAAAAGAAAAAAGTTGGAGGGTGGTGGCATGTCTGATGTCCATCTCATAGGAATCAGCCTTGGGCTGTTGATGCTGATGGTGATTTTCCCTCAGCCCGGTGAAGTTAGAGGAAGTCAGACGACACCTCTCCCACACCTTTTTTGCACTTATATACAAATTCTACTTAAAGAAAGAAAGACATAGGAACGGAATTCATTGATAATCCAGAAACTGCCTGTGCTGCCATCCCCAGTGCACACAAGATGATCTTGTTTACACAACAGGCTTATCTCACAAGAACACAGACACAGCCTCAATCAAGTTGTTGATGAACAAGGAGAAATTAAAGTAATGGTAATCCAAATAGTTCCTCCTGTCCAAACAATTGGTGACTTTTGCTCTTTAAGTTGTCCTCAGAAAAATGACCCATCTGAGAGAAATGTAGGGTGTCTCCAAGCTCATTACATAACTTGCCATGGGATCTTGGAACATGAATTATGTTCTCTGAACCTCCACTTCCACATCTGCAAATGGAGACAAAATACCTACATTTTCATTCAGAGAAACGGAAAGACCGTACACCATATTCCCGGCATGTAGTAAATAAATGCTTAATAAACCATTATAATTATCTAGTCTAGGCTGGGGTGCAGCAGAAATAGCATTAACCTCAAAGCCATGGTGACTAACTCCTGGTTTGGTTTTGTCAAGAAGTGTGAGTCTGTTAAAAGATTTGTCTCATCCCTGGGCCACAGCTTCCTCATTTGTCAAATGACCAGAATGGTTTCTGAGGTCTGACTAGCTCTCAAAATTCTGGTGACCAGAATCAGTTTGTAAACTCATTAGTGGACTGTATTAACGTATTCCTTTTTGTTGGTGATCTTGTGGGGTGGTTTGTGGTACAAAGCAAATCCCTGGTAACACATGACAGCTGCTAATCTAGGGCTGGAGTAAAATCAGGTGAGAAGCACACAAAGCTCACTCCCTCCCCTCTAGCCTGTGCCCTAGACAGTACTGTTTTCAATTGCTTTATAATCACCCAAATAGCACTTATATTTGAAGGAAAGGGGAGGGCATCATAAGAACAAGGCTGAATTCCTGTTCCCCACAGAGAACAAAGCAGTCTGGTAAGACCATGGAAAGAGTTTCAGAGCAACCCTGATTAGAGAGACCTGAGTCCTCATCTTAAATCTGCAATAGTCATATGACTTTGAACAAGTTACTTAAATTTGCTGTGCCCCCTTTTACCTCATGTACAAAACAAGGGCAATGACCATCCTTGGTCTACCTTATGAAGTGCAAAGGAGATGACGGACATGAAGTCTCTTTAAAACGCTACTGTAGTTACAAACGTGAGACCTGGAGCCTCACCACCACCTGTCTTAGAGCATCACTGTGATTACCTAGCTCTGCATGACTTTGGTGAGATAAGCATGCCAGGCAGACTGTCTTAGTCTCCAAGGCACTTACATGATGTACCCTCAAGACAGACATGACCAAAGATGGTGTGTCCTCAGGGAGAGATTCAAAGGACACAGACAAGGCCCAACAAAATTCACATGAATGATGCAAACGGTTTACTCTCACCTACTAACCAATCTGCTCAAAAGAAAGGCTTGGTGATCTACTTCCACCAGATTATGGTGGGAAAGAAAAAAAGCCAACAAACCTATGCAGCATAGTTCCACTCTGAAGCACATGGGATCACCCTGAGTCAGAATCAATTTGACAGCACTGGGTTGAGTTTAGTTTTCGTTGACATAAATAAATAAATTCCCAAAAGAAAGAGAGAAGTGAGGGAAATATTGTAGACTGAGAGTTAAGAGACAGCTTCTCTTAGGAAGTAGTATTTGAGGTGTCACAAAATCAAAACTGAACCCATTGCTGTTGAATTGATGCTGCCTCAGTGACCTTATAGGACAGAGTAGGGTTTCCAAGGATGTACTCTTTATGGAAGTAGAGTGTCACATCTTTCTCCCATGGAGTGGCTGACCTTTCAGTTAGCAGCTGAACACTTAACCACTATGCCACCAGCACAGTGAGCTACACCTCAATGAAAAAAATATCAGCCATGAACCATCACAGTGTTTAAGTCTTACAGCAGGCTACAAGACAAGAATTATTAGTATTTCTATTTTATAATTGAAGAAACTGAGGCCCAGAGAATTGAAAGAACTGGCCAAAGTCTCACAGCAAATAAAAGAATCATGATTTAAACCTAGACAATCTGACTTAGGGGGCCAAAGTTCTACATGGAGCATGACAAGGCCTCTCTGAAGTGACTTGCTTAAAGTCACAGAGTTAGAGACAGAGTCGCCATTGTTATGAGATGCCTTCAAGTCAGCTCTAACTCATGGAGACCCACATACAAGAGAATGAAACGTTGTTGGCCTATGCCATCTCCATGACTGTAAGTTTGCTTACGTCCACTTTTGCAGAGTGTGTATTTTTCATGCCTTTCAACCCAGGGGGCTCATCTTCCAGCACTATATCAGACTATTCTATTGTGACCCATAGGGATTTCATTGGCTACTTTTAGGAAGAAGATCACCAGGCCTTTCTTCCTAGTTTGTCTTGGTCTGGAAGCTCCATGAAAAGCTGTCTATCATTTGGTAACCCTGCTGATATTTCAAATATTGGTGGCATAGCTTCCAGCATCCTATCAACATGCAAGCCACTACAGCACAACAAACCAACAGACAAGTAAGGATAGAGGCAGAGGGAGGACTAGAATTAGACCTCCTGAGTCCAGGGCAATCCTCACCATACTTGATCATGGTATCTCTGACCCAGAGAATTCTGGACAGAGGCAGATAAGCAAAAGGATGGGGAAAAGTCAACACAAAATATATTTTCCAATATTAAAGCATAAGAAATGCATTCAGAGAGAAGAGGCAAATTGGACATGTGGGATATGAGGGTGGTGTTTCCTACAAAGCATACTGGGACTCTATGTCCTTGACTGAGCTTCCCCTCGAGAACATTTCTCAGAACTCAGCAGCAGGCCTTGCTTCGGGTCGCAGGCCACTGCAAAGATGCTTCAGTAACACCCATAGAGTGCAGATGTGTGACACAAGATGGAAGACTGCCAAACATCTTGGTGTGTCTCCCTTCATGTTATCACTTATTTTTTCAGTTTTGACAGTGAAATGACAACACCCAGAAATTCAGTGAGTGGAACTTTCCCAGCAGAGCCTGTGAACGGCTCTAGTGACATGTATCCTGCTCAGAAAATAACTCCCTGGAAGATGTCTTCATTGGTGGGCCCCACACAACACTTCTTCATCAGGGAATCTAAGGCTTTGGGGGTAAGTCAGTTGTCTTCCTTACATACCTAGGAATTCTTTGGCCTACTGAAGCTGATGGTGTTGACCAGGCACAAAACTCAACCCAACTTGAAGAGATTTGATCCAACCTGAGTTATTTTCTACGTCTGACATGGTTCACCAAGTCTGGGATGTATCCTGAAAGTCATCACCTGGATCACCTCAGGGTGGTCTTATGTCCCCTTTTGGTATTTGTTTTGTGTATTAGGGATCTACCATCCCAGTTTGGTCCAGCATCCCAATCCCAGGTGATGGGCAAAACCAGCCTGAATAACAAAAGACAAAGATCTTGGTACTGTCACAACTTTCTTCAGACATTTTATACTGACCCAAGTCAATAGCCAGGACTTCCAGCCTTGCCTTGCCTTCTAACTTAGTGATGGTTCCAGTTCATCCATCTATCCTCTCCTCTGTTCTCTCCCCAGGCTGTCCAGATCATGAACGGGCTCTTCCACTTTGCCCTGGGGGGTCTCTTGATGATCCCTGTAGGGATCTATGCACCTATCTGTATAGCAGTCTGGTACCCTTTCTGGGGAGGCACTATGGTGAGTAGAAAATAAAACTGTTTGGGGAGTGATGCATACAAAATGTCAAAAAGCCCCACAGACACATGTCAGACTGTTGAAGGAAGTATATGGGTAGGAAATAGAATATCAGCTTAAAATAATTTAGTGGGAAAGAGATTGGCTGCATTGAGCATGTATCCTGTGGTTGAGGGTCGGGGTTCTGCTTCAAGGGATACCCTTCTTCAGGGGAAGATACCCTGCCTGGTTCTACACGGGAAAGGAAGATGGTTCAATGCAAGATTTCTCCACAGTCAATTCCGGGCAGGAAGCTAGACGGTCGGACTGTATGGCATGGTGCATAGAAATGCAAGAAGTGGCAGGAATGTCCTGCTTCCTCCTATCTGCTCCTTCTTCCCTACAGTTCTCTTTACTATGAAACTTGGTCAAATCTGTCCCATCTCAAATCTCCTTTTGCTTGTAAGCAAAACAATACTCTCTTTGGCTCTTTTGTGTACATGTTTGCCAAGCTTGTGCCTTGTCTTGGTATAGTATAGGACAGTGCTGATTCTTTCATTGTGGCACTTTCATAGTTGTCACTTTAAAGTTGGGTCTGGGAGTCAAGTTTTTCAAACAAGGAGACTGAGATAGAACAAAAGCTTCCTCCGTTTAGCAACTCAAACATTAGAAAAGGCAGATTAAAAATCATCATTAGTTCCTGTAGCAATCAACATTTTCATGAAGTGCTTATGACAAGTATTTACTTCCACATTGATTGATTCTTCTTCGTTGGCATCAAAGTCATTTAGATAATTATGAACCCCAAAAAATAATTCTATGAATAAATAAAAAGTAAACCTTTCAAATTCACATTGTGAGTATTAATTGAAATGAAAATGTAGGTCTTGCCTCCTTAGTCTTATAATATTCCTAGTCACGGTCTCCCATGTGGCTGAGTAAAAGGGTTGGATCGAATGTAGTTGATCTTGAATAAAGGAGAATTATAATTGCTGAGAAATGAATGGATCCAATAAATATGAGTGGATAGTTTAGTGAAAGCAACTGAAGGTGTGGATGGCTCTATATAACCAGTTCCCAGTGTTAAGCAGTGATCTGCCTCTCTGCCTCTCCCCTTCTCCCCTCTTCTCCACCCACCCCGTCTCTTCTCTTTTTGCAGTTTATCAGTTCTGGATCACTCCTGGCAGCAGTGGAGAAAAATTCCAGGAATATTTTGGCAAGTAATCGTACGTCCTTCTTTCCCACATATCAAAGAAATCTTTATTTTCTCAGTTGAAAATAGGAAGCCATCAGATCACAGTGACATTAAGTTCTCTCTCAACTCTAAAAAGCTAAGGATTCTCAACAATCCTGTTAACATTTTACTCATTAAAACATTTAGACATGAGATCTATATGAACTGTGTCCGGGAAAACAGAAGTAATCTATGAAGAACATGCTTTAGTCTTGGGAATGTTGAATGTCGTGTAAGGATAATAGATCTTTTTAAAAACTGTGTCATTTATCCCAGACCACCATTTAGGGAAATCATCTCATCAATGCTGTAATTGATTCAAGTTCTAAGTTAATGTTTAGGTATAACCCTTGAGTAGGTCAGGTTACCACTCTGTACCTCTGAGTTTTCACCTATATAATGAAGATGATGGTAGATGCTGCCATATTAAATCGGCTTGGGGATGAAATGGAGTCACTTATGTGAAGTGCTTCAGAGGCTATAAAGAGCTGCACAGCATAGTTTGTTCAGATAGCCCCTGGGGACTCACCTACACCCAGAAATAGGCTGTTTACATGGAGCTCCTGGTTCTATCCCTTTTGGGTCTGAAGCTCACCAGCAATTCTCCTTCCAAATACAATCTGAAGACATTTCTCCCTCAACATTCTCTTATATATCCTAAGCTATTGCGAAGTTGAGTCACTCTCAAAGTGAGGACTGACTGGGTTGGGATGGCTCCTCTCTACAGGTAGTCTGACAAGCTCAGGCTGGCGGGGGGTGGTGGTGGTGGCTATCTATGAAGACCAAATTGTTCTATTCCCCAAAGTCAGCCAAATCTACTGACTTGCTCACATACAGCCCCAGGGGTGAAACATGTATGCCCTAAAATAATCACAAGAGATCACAAATGACTGTGGTATTTTTTAAATATATTTCCTGTTTCAACCTATTATCAGCCCTACAAGGTAGGGCATTCACACCCACGTTCTTATCTGTGCTCCCCAGAGATACAGCTTTAATTGTGGTTTGAAAGAGGGTAGACTGAGGCTGATTGCAAAGTATGTTAGGAGGGAGTAGGTCATAGTGGTGGTGGAAGGGGTGGTACAATGTCCAAATTGTTTGTCTCCATTTGATGGCACAGATCTAGAAGGCTCTATCTGCTCCTTCCCTGCCTACATGCACACCACCATCCCACTTCAGTGTGGTGGCAGAACATCCTTCCCTCTCTTCTAACACAGACAGAAAATAATCTGGATGCTATTTATCTTCATTTCCAACAAATATTTAGGGAATGCCTAGTAGGATAGTGCCAGTGGCATTGAAGGGAACTACAATGACATAAATAGAAGAATTAAGGATCACTCCTAGAATTTTAGGAGCTCTGGTAGCATAGGCACTTAACTGCTAACCAGAAGGCTGGCGGTTCAAACCCACCAGCCACTCCTCAGAAGGAAGACTGGACACTCTACTTCCGAAGTGATACTGCTTCAAAAACCCAAGGAAGTCGAATCGCCCCGACTCGATAACCTGAATAGACAGTGGTGGAATAGAATGAAAAGGGACCAAGAGAGTGAGATCTGGGATCTAAGAGAAGAACCATAGTTTGATTTTGGAGTAGTGCCTTGGTGAGACAGAATGATGGCCCCTAGAATTCCTTCCTAACTTATACTCTCAAAATGGAAATCAAACCCAATGAACAATCTTTGTGTCACCATTTTAGGTCAAAGGGAAAATGGTAATGAACTCACTGAGCCTCTTCACTGCCATTTCTGGAATAATTCTTTTGATCATGGACATATTTAATATCACACTCTCCCATTTTTTTAAAATGGAGAGTCTGTATCTTGTTAAAGATGCTGAACCACATATTAATATATACAACTGTGAACCAGCCAAGACCTCTGAGAAAAACTCTCCATCTACCCAATACTGCTACAGCATGAGATCTGTGTTCTTGGTAAGTGTGAAAGTGGATTTCTTTCCAGGGAAGAAATGTGGCATTTTATTACGACCATCAACTCTAAAGCCAGCTTATGTGGATCTGATACATACTAACGATGTGGCCTTGGACAATGTTTTACTATACTCTGCTTCCATTTCCTCAGCTAGATGATGAAGATGACTTACGGGGTTGGTTTGAGGAGGAAACAAGTTAATAAAGTCAAGGCACCAAGAACAATGTGTAGTACTGAGAAAGTGCTATGGAAGTGCTTGTTATTAATATCTGTTGTTATTAAAGGTATTAATATTCTTATCATTGATTACCTAGAATGCATGATAGAAGAAATAACTAAGTTGTTACAAACATCTTTTGCCTCGGGGAGTTTTAAATGTAGAGTTTAAAGGAGAATAAAGTGTATGTCCCAGGTGTAGAGAGACTTCAGTGGCATGATACCACAGCATCTAAAGCTAGATACAATTTAATCAGGACTTGGGAAATACTCTCTTCTATGTAAAACTGATTCTTCAACTGCTTATCCCTGCAGCATACATGAGCCATCTGTTGTGTGCTAGAAGTTGTGCTAAGGGATAGGGTTATAAAGTTACTGTCCTTGGTGGTGCAAATGGTTAACACCTCAGCAGCTCACTGAATGGCTGGAGCGTCCATCTACCCACAGGCCCTTGGAAGAAAGTCCTGATGATCTATTCGCAAAAAATTAGCCACTGAAAGCCCTAGGGAGCACAGTTCTACTCTGACACACGTAGTGTTGTCTTGTGTTGAAACCACGGCAACTTGTTCTTTGGTCTTCTGTGTAGCAGTTCTCAGAACTAGTCATGATTCACCTGAGGAACTGGCTCTTCAGTCATTTAATATCTTCAGCAGTCATTTAGTAAGCATCAGCTATGAGCTGTGTTCTCTGTACCATTACCACATCTTCAGCCTCGTTCTTCTGTTGCACCTTAGGGCATCTTTGCAGTGATGCTGGTCTTCTCCTTCTTCCAGAAGCTTGTGGCAGCTGGCATCGCCGAGAATGACTGGAAACAACTGTGCTCCAAACCCAAAGGTGTAAGTTAGCCATTCTGTCCACACCCTCCCTCTATACAAATCCCTTCTACAAAGCATCTTTTATGGAGAATGTAATCTGGTGAGGCTTTGAGACTGGGGAGCTTCATGAAAAAGAGTCTGAGCATAGTTCTGCAAAGAAGAAAAAAATGTCTTCACATTTGAAATAAGTGCAAAGGTTAGACAGAAGGTGCAGTTCCATAATATGTGGACCTTACTAACCTTTTGTTTGGCTTGACTTCAAGCTTCCTTCTTGATTTCAGAATTCTATTCTGAATATTTCAAAGCAGGAGAGTTGATGGTTGAAGGCTGCTATTTTTTTACTTTGTTTCCCAGTATCCCTGTCTTCTGCTCTACTATTGGGAGATATGAATGTCTCAGGATGGATCAACTGCGTCAGAATCATAGAAGTCAGATCTAGAATAGAATTCAGAAATCATCATAAATTCCTTCATTTTG